TTTTATTATGGACTTTAAGTAGTTAGACAAGTAGCCTACTTCTGTTAGAAGTAGTGCAGCAGGTTGCACTTAGGTACTCTATGGGTGGCCAGGTGATGCTAGACTTAGTTGTTAGGAAAATCTATGTAATTGCGAAAGTAATTTCAAGAACCTTAATAAAGTACTAGCGTGACTGCTTAAGTTAAAAAAAAAAAATAAATAAATAAACACTAAAATAATGACTAAGTCTGATGCTCAAAAAGATTCATTAATTGAACTAGCTATTAAAATTTTTTCAATTCCACCATCTCAAACTGTATGTGAATAAAATTTTTTAACACTAAAATGAATATTTGGTGACCAAAGAATAAGATTTAATATTTTTTGCTTGAAAGCAATAACAAAGATTTGGATATATTGCTATACCAATATTAAAAATGAATTGTCTTTTATAGTAAGAAACTATTGGAATATGATTTAAGAGATAATGTAAATAGGTCAACTGTCAATTTTAGCCAAATAGAATTTATTGAATGATCAGAAAAATCTTCTGATTCATTTGAACCTATTTCTGAATCTTGCAACATACAATTGGATGAAGTAAATGATACTAATTTGCTAATCGATGAAATTGCTGATCTTTCAAATCCAGCATTTATTGGCAATAACAGCTCATTTAATGAAAGTCAAAGTATTGTATCAAATAAAAACACTCAATGAGTTGGATCAGGAAATCTTAATTACAATATGACAAATTTAGTAGCTCAGATTTTTAATGAAGAAAACATTAAATAAATAATTAGAATGATAATTGCATTTACTTATATTTATTTTAAGTAATGAATAAATAATTAGATTAATAATTGCATTCACTTATATTTAAACTAATGAATAATTAATTAGAATAATAATTTCATTGCTTATATTTGTTTTAAGTAACGAATAATAATTAGAATAATAATGCATTCACTTATATTTATTTTATAACAGTATTGTTTGCTTTAATAAAATATATTTTAGCGTTTGTACATATCCTCTCTATACGTGTAAGCTGTAATAGTAATATGATATTCATTTTAAAAATTAATTGTATAACGGCAATAGGAAAAAACTTTCAAATTACGGCAAGTTACGGCACATATAAAAGTTATAACATAAACAATTATATTAGTAAATACGCAAGTTATAGCATACCGTAATTTAAAGCAAAAAGTTAGAACTGGTTATAACTCAGTCACGGCACGGCTTATCCCAATGCTCGAAGTTCCGCCTGCATCACTAGTTCCTACTTACAATATATACAATATATACTACAATATCAATTTTTTGCAAAATATAACATATTTATAAGTTATTGTATAATTCTGATTCTAGTGATAGTAAACATAGTTCTAATAATGTGGTATTAATTGGTTCAATAGTTTGATGGTTACGCTCCTGGGTCCCAATCGCAAGATCGCTGGTTCGAGTCTAATGAGGAGACAATGCCGTGCCAAGATCACAATTGAAGTTTAGCTACATTCATGTAATGCAATACAAGATTTAAAGATTCAAGAATTAAAACAAGTAAAGGATACATTTTTGTGGCGGTGCTACCATAGCTGCCACAACAAAATTGTCCTCGATTGTGATTGGCTAACGGCCATGGATCTGCAAAATTTGGCCCGCATTACATAATTGTTTACTAATTTCTGGCCAAAATTAATTTTTTAACTTTTTCATTCCAAAAATAGAAATTTTCAAAGAAATAGACCCGCATAATGGTAAAATTAGCACAGGAAAATTTTTCATTTAATAGGCGGCTGTGATTTCATTAGTAAAATTTTGAGTAATTCCGGTCATTTTTTTTGATCGTCACTTTTAATCAGTTAGCCAAGATCAGGAAACCTGAGGTGGATATCATTAATGTATGCCCAGTTGAGTTGGATGAAGTGATAATTGGTGCTTTGGATTACGAATCTTATGAAATACTATTAAGAGGTGTACGATGGCAAGTTTTTGATTAGTAGATAGGAAAATTTTTTGTCTGATTAAGATTATGAATATCTTTTCTAATGCTATTTTTCTGATATTTTTTTACGACTGACTCTCACCATCGGATCTTACAAACTATAAGACTCTTTTACTATATTTGATCGCCTTCGCTTGTTTCCGTCAACTATAGTTTATTCTGAGTAGTTGCGTATAAACGAGATTTTGCAGTAAAGTATAATCTGCTGCCTACGCCGCAGATTATACTTTGCTGCAAAATTCTGTTTATAGTAAACTACTCAGAATATAGCTAATATATCTTCTGGCATCTACGTAACATAAATTTCATATACTTATTTTAGAATGAAATCATTGCTTCACTCCTATATTTGACGTTTAAGATTAAATAGAATAATATAGTAATTAGATAATTGTTTAGTACGTGAAAAAAATTACGTTGATAGGTTGACAAAAGGACAAAAATAATCGTATTACCTAGTAGTTCAAGATAATTGCGCTTAACAAATGACAGAGCTATTTGGTAATTGTTATTATAGCATATTTAAATTTCTCAAATGATATACATTAATATGTTAAAACATCATCAGACTACAGTACCTAAAAGATAATATTCGGACATATAGCATTTACTATACCATAATTGCGTTATATTTCTAAGTTTTAATTGTTTATTGAGTATTAAAATCCTTTATTCATACTGAAACTTTCAAATTTACACATTATACATGATTGTGCTAGTTCTGTATGGCGTCACGCGCTGCGCAGCTACCCTAATTATATAATTAGACCAAATGTAATACACAACAAAATTTCATGATAAACCAAAAATTTTATTGAGAAAAGACACGTTGGTTGATAATATCATTAAAATTGCCAGAAATATCTTTTACTCTGGCACTCATAAAGGCATTTTTAAAATCCTTATTATGCCAAAAGTGTATAACATTCAACCAGCCCTCTTACCCTCTTCTGTAATTCTTCAGAAGGCCAATACGGTTTTCTTGTAATATCATCTTCACGGGAGAAATGGACCAGCCTATAGATGGGTTTCATGCGTACTAGTTAGGATATGATTACGGCCATCCACATCCACCCTCCTTACGCTACAAATGGATAATCAAAATATTTTTATGCATTTACAATATAAACAGTGTCTCGTTAAAATGAAAATGAACTACTCACAAAGCTTGTATCGCATTGACAACGTAGAGTTTATGATGATAATTTTCATCGATGGCTGGGTTAAGTTTTAGTTCTTGCGTAGCACAATAATGATTATATTCTATAACTGCATTTTATCCCATCAAGATTTCTCTCCTCTCGATCGTTTTTTCTTTTTTTTTCCTTTTTTTTATCATGCGATATCATGCGCATGAAACATTTCGTGCGCATTTTTCCCATCACTAGACCAGCCAAACCTCAGAGGGACAAAGTTTGTTGGCATATTTATACACCTGTTCGAAATGTTTATCTAATTTTTGCGGAGTTGCGGTGGCCACTAGCTCAAGTATGGCTATAGGATTGGAATCTTCCTTCTTTTTTATTGCAAGATCGCAATATCAATGATGATATCCCCCATCTTTACCAACTTGCCCTAAGTGCCACTGTTCAATAATTTCATAATAATGTACTTCAGTAAGCCAATTAAAAAGTATTCTGTACATCTCAGCGTCATAAACAGATTCTCTTGGAATATTCACGTTGAGCTTAGAATCCACTAACAAATTGTTCGAACTTTTATATGGACGAGATTACCTTGGACAATGGTATTTTGATCAAAGGAACGGAAGGCCTGCTTCACTATGCCTAAAATATCTATAGATTTATTAATTCGCAAGGGGACATCAACCCCAGGAAAGAAAGAATCCAAGGTTATGTGTTGTTTTTTTAAGAGAATAGAAGTATCAGTGGCTTTCTACTATAGATGATACTGTGAAACGAGATAATGCAAAAAAAGGAATTAATAGAACAAAAATACCCAGCATGATAAATAACATAATACACGTGATTTGATTTGTTATTACGTATAACTGCATCACGCCCAAGTACTGTAGCATATCGTAAATGTGTACAAGATTGGCGGCGAAGATTAAATTATTTAGGGTTAGGGTCAAAGTTACGATCTAGCGTGGGATAATTTATATAGTAAAATTGTTCAATGAAAACTTTTTGTTAGAGCACAAAAAGTGGTTTCTTATGCAGAACGAACGTTTGTTTTGAATCTTCCTGATCATGTTACGTTACACCTAATCTTGAAATCTGATTCGTAGTTCAGGAGATCTGCGCTGCCAACCTTGTCACATTTACTGTAGCACGTTCGTAATCTGTGACAGGTTAAGCCACTGATTTCAATCACCGCCTTAAATCATGATGAAAAGCTATTGTATTTAGTAATTTGAAAAGCTAAGTTAAAGTTGAATATATAAAAACGATTTGATCGTATTTGATTCTTTATTTTTTTTGCGATTTTATAAATTAATTTTTATTTTATATAAAGCGCGCAGATTAAAAGTTTAAATAACGATAACCTATCGACTTCTAATAAGACTTACAGTAAAGGAGATCCAATTTTTTAATAAAAAAATCTTATAAACCGGATTAAGAAAATGGATGAGAACGATATTTCCGGCATCACATCATTTTTAGTTATTAATTTAAACTGCCAAAATATTAGCCCAACATTACGAACCATGTTAGATAAATTCAAAGATCAGTGTAATGTAATAAAAATAAAATCACCCGAATATTTGTCTTTATGATTTTAGTCGCGACTGTTCAATCAAAAGTGTTGCGAAAATATGAGTTCGCGAATAAATGATATGGAAGAAAGAAGAATTCAGCTCTTTGAGTCCTCTTCATTCGAAAGAGGTAGGATTAAGTATTTTTTAAGGAAGAATATGTTGAACAATAGCACGGTTAAAGAAACAACGTATTGTTTGCTTTGCTTAAAGTATATTAAGTTTTTATTTTTTATATAATATTTGTTTAGTTAATATCAAAAGCAACTTTTGAATTTATAAGTTATTTTTTTTTTTTAATAGCTTATGACAGTCAAGTCTACTCTGGGAATATAATCGGATGGATTGAAATTAGTGGATGTGCAATACTGTATGCAGTGGCAAACGGTAAAAAAAAAAAAAATAGAAAATGCTGTTAAATATAAAGAATTGGCCTTGGTTCTTACATGAAGCATCATCTAAGTGATCAACTTAAAAAAATGCAGAAATATATCAACGGTCAAAGTTTTTGTTGTATGCAAAGAAACATAACCAATTCCTCCTCCAGAACTTTTATTGACATACTTCATAAGGTTTACCAGGGCGAACGTAGTAAACATATCCATTTCAGTATTTGCAAGGGTAAAAGCTACTCCACTCTTATCGGAGTGAACGCAATAAGGTACAAGTACTTGATCAATATCTTCATCTAGGGGCTTGCAAATTGCCTATTTTTGTGGCCTGGCCCGGCCCGCAAAATTTATTATATAATTTTGAAAAATTTTTAGCCCGGCTCGGCCCGCAATTATAAAATTTTGTTTCAGGCCTAGCCCAGCCCGCAAAAATTTGCGGGCCGGGTCGGGCTGCAGGACCCAATGCAGGCCTCTATCTTCATCCATCTAATTTAATATCTTCATTATACTTATCCTTTTATTGTTCAAAAGCTCTTGGGCAATATTTCCAACTTCTTCTAACGTGTGCGGATCCTTTTTTATGTTATGTAATATATTATAAAATGCATGGTGGGTCATTTTTATATTGGCACTTTCGTAATTATCAATTATGTAGGAAACAAAGTGAGCAAGTGGCTATTTCTCATATGGAAAGAATTCAAAATATTTGTTATATGGAATATTTGATACAAAAGATTAGTAGCAAACATATTGAAAGTTTATGTATGTAGTTAAAGTATAAAAGTAGACTAACAAACATACCTTTTTACCTTTTTATAAAATTAAAAATCAAAAGAAACGCGTAATTAAAGATGTGTAACAAATAAATTGCAGTCTATGCATCAGATTCATGAAGATTGGCTGAAGTCAGGGAACCGAATAAATTTTTGTATATCAAATGATGGAACAGCAAAGAATTGCTATAGATTATAAATGCATCACAAGTTACCTGGTGTTAGGGTCTGAATGGGGACTCTGAACCACAAATTGTGGCTCCTTTTAATTTTTTTTTTCTATTTAATCTATGTAATATCCATTTTTATCTTAGTATATATATATAAGGATTATGGGATGTGGTTTAAGGACGAATTAGGGATTTACTCAGCAGATTATAATGTATATGTTATAGACTATGTGATGAGTGACTGAGGGAAATCGTAATGATATTATAGAGAACGTATACATGATAATAGTAGAATGTATACACATTGATAATAGAACGTATACGCTGTAAAACTTAGTAGATCAAAAGAATAATAAGTTTGTCTCTATTAGAACAGAAAAGTATAAATATAAACCCACTTGACCTTCTCTAAAGTAGTTCACAATTAGTTATCAATGGTATTAATAAAAGTTTATAAAATAAATCATATTATTTCACATCTCTAAATTTCTTGAACATTCTAAAAATAATAAAATACTTTAAAACTGATAAATAATCATTACTTCACCATAGTTCTTTAACTATTATTTTAATTAATGACTAGCATATATGTTGGGTCTCTTATTTAATATAAAGAAAGTAAGCATTAAAGCTGAATAGATCTTTTCCTAAATAACTAAGAGCTATATACCGAATAATTTGTATTAAGTATAGAGATATTATGATTAATGACATATAATAAGAAATAGGATTGTAAAGAGGATCAATCAGTTTATATTACATTGTTTTATTATTGGAATATTGATCAATACTTAACTCACTTATTAGTTTATTATATGCTTAAGAGTAACACTTCTTATTACAATTAACTTATTTGCAACTCATTCTTAAAATACCAATCTCATCTGATTAAATCATCATTAATCTTATTATAAATAGATTAATATTCTAAATAATTTGTACTTATCCTAACTGACCAAGAAATAGAATATTATAACTCATATTCCATTAACTATTAGAGTTAAACTGTGCAATGTTATCTGCTCTCCCAATTTATAATAGTAATATTTGGTGCTGATTGTGTAGAAATTTGAACAAATTCTCTACAGAATTAATTAGCTTTCATGTTAGAAATATAGTTTAGAAAAGAGAGATAAATATAAAATGATTCAAAAATCCTTGATGCAAAACCAACAACCTCTTCAAAACCTACAGAATTTCAACCTGATGCATAATTTGGTAAACCAAATTACTAATTTAGTTCAGCAAATGCAGTTAGCATAACCTTCACAAGTTTCTATTATTTACAAAAAACTTAACTTAGTATTATACTCTAAATCAATAGAAGGAGAACAAGATCACATTTCTTGGTTAAAGAATATTAAAAAAATTTTTGAGACCAATTATATTACTGATGCTTGTAAAATTTTTGTGATTATTCTTAAATTAAAAAGATTAACTTCCATTTGATGGATAACAATAAGGATTCAGAACTTATTAATTAATTGATGAAGTGATAATGTTAATCTGGGCCTAAGTTTTAAGGCCAATTTTATAACAAAGTTCTGAATTTCTGAGCTTAAAGAGAAGTGGTTTGCCCAACTTATATAAAGAAAATAATTTTTTAGAAAAAATATTGATTTTTATCATATGATTGTGAAAGAAATAATTCATAGAGTTGAGGCCAGAGGTCACCAATATTCTAATTTAGTGAAAGCCCAGATGTTCATAAATAGGTTATATTCTGAATTGTTTATAGTTATGTCTTCTTATATTTCAAATATATTACAAACTATATATAAAAGAGCAAAAGCATTTAAAAATACTTATAAACAGAATCTCATATATGCAGTTTTCTTAAACAAACTCTCAGATATCTTTACAGGTTGCTTCATATCAAAATAATTTAATCTTACCTCCTATACCTGTTTTTAATGGAACTGATGTTGCAATCATAAAGCTTACTAAGGTTGTAAATAAGATGGTAACCCAGATACAGGATCAATGATGACTACAAAGAAATTACTAATCCAGTTTTAAAACTTTTAGTTCACTTACTTGTTATAACTGTAACTACCTGGACATATAAGCAAGGATTGTAATGTCTCTATTATAATAATAAACCTCTGACTTCTGTTAATTTATCTGTAAATGCTCTGACTAATGCAAATCTACAAGAAACTTTGTTAGCCCTAATGAATCTACTTTAACAAAACAATCAAATCAAAACTAAAGAAAAACAACATTTTTACCTTGAAATCAAAGAAAAAGACTTTTCTATTTTCATCTCTGCAAAAGTAAAGATAAGAAAAAATAATCTAATTGAAACTCAAGCTAAGAAACAGAAAGTAGATAAATAAAATACAGTATTAATAGAAAAAGAAATAACAGAAAACAATATAAATAATAAAAACCTATAATCCTTCTTAATTCAACATAATATGCCTAAAAAAAATAGATTTACAAAAAAACCGATACATATTAGGAAAAGAAATTAGATTATAACACTTCGTAAATATTATCTTAGTTATTCTGCATTCGATCATTACTAAAATTTATGATAAACTGGCCAATATTACTTTTGAACAATTATTTAAGGTCACCCCTTTCATGAAAACTGATTTAATCCATTCTCTACAAAAGAAGAAGATAATGGTTAAAAGAAAAATTCATGCAAATATAAATTTACAAGTTATAAATAAATTCACTACTCTTTACTATAATACCCAGGTCTAAGAAAAAGTTATTCTTTTAATTGTAGACAGTAAATTCTCTGAGAGTATTATATCCTTCTATTTATTAAAAAAATTAAGAGTCAAAATTGATAAACCATTCATAGTAAATATAATAAATGTTTATGACAAAAGTAAGAGGACTATTGGGAAGATTTCTGATTTTTTCTTTATTGTCAAAGGTATGAAAATCTCTATAGACATCATAGTAACTAATGCAAGTTTCTATAATATGTTTTTGGAAAATGATTAGCTTTTTTAAATGAATGTCTTAATCGACTGAAACACTTCTAAGATAACTCTTATTTAGAAAAAAAAAAGTTATGATATCTGTAAAATTTAAAAGAGTAATCCTGAAACTTTTTGAAACTAACAGATTTATAAAAATAGATCTAAAAAAAATTAAGATTAAGAAAAATAAAGAAATAGAGAAAGAAGAATCAGAAGATAAAGAAAAGTTCAAAGAGAAAAAATTAAAAAATAGAATTTACAGATTTTCTAAGTTAGAAGAGGAGATAAAAGTTTTGAAGATGATAATGTGTATTCTAGAAATTTACTTAAAAATAATCTAGAATCAAAAAAAATATAGTGGAACTTAGATAGCAATAATGATGATAAAAAAGAAGTAGTATAAAAGTGAGTTAATGATGAGAATGCAGACCAAATGAAGGAAAGAATGATAAAAGTAAAGAATTATTTTAACCTATTACTGTTTGGCCCAAAGATTATCACTGACAAACAGCTTTCAATATTCTCTAAATAGAAGATAACCAACTAGATAAATTCTTACTATTAATCTTGAACATTATACCCCAAAGACAAATAATAAGATCATTGATCTTTTTGATTTTTATTTTGATGAAAAAGCTGATTCTGTAGTAACCTATAATGTTGATGATCTTTACAAAAATTAAAAAGAACAAATCTTATCAATTCTTAAGAAAAACTCAAATTTTTTTGCAAAAGATATATCTGAGCTCAAAAGAACTAATAAATGCCAACACTATATTATTACTAAAGATGCTTTACCTATTAAGCAGCATTCTTATAAACATTCTTTATTAGAGAAAAAATTTCTTATAGATGAAATTAAGTTGATAGAGAAAGAAAAGATTATCCAAAAATCTTTCAGTCTGTAGTTTTCACTAGTTATTTTAGTAAAACAGAAGAAAAAAAAAACTAGAATTTGCATTGATTATAAAAAAGTTAATGCCATCACTAAAAAGAATAATTATCTCTTACTCTGAATTAATAAACTTCTAGATGCTTTGAAAAGATCATCTTGGTACATGTCATTAGATCTTGTTAGTAGATACTGGCAAGTTGAGATAGCTAAAGAAGATAAAGAAAAAACAGTCTTTGTTAAACCCAATGATTTATAAATTTAATATAATGCTCTTTGGTTTAGCTAATGCTTCTGCCACTTTTCAATGATTGATAAACCAAATCTTTTAAGATATAATAGAGAAATACATCATAATATATTTAGATAACATCAATATTTACTTGTCGAATTTTTATGATTATCTTATTTACCTTCAAGAAGTATTTAATTGATTGTGAAAGGCCAGATTAAAATTGAAATTCTAGAAATGTTTTTTTGAGAAGTGTGAATTAAAATTCTTAATATATATAATAAATGCAACAGGAATTGCAATAAATTCAAAGAATATAAAAGCCATTAAAGAACTCCTAATACTATGAAGTATGAGACAACTTCATAAGTTTTTAGAACTCATCTTTTATTATTATAAATTCATTTTAGGATTCACTAAGATAATCATATTATTAAACTAATTACTAAAGAAAAATATTTATTATAAGTAAACAACCTATCAACAAAAAGCCTTTGAAGAATTAAAATAACAACTTACCATGGCTCTAATATTAGCTTATCTAGACAAATCCAAAACCTTTCTACTATTTACTGATGCATTTGATTTAGTTTTAGAAGCTATTTTCATTTAAATTAATTTAGAAGAATAAGATCAAGTTATATCATATCCTAGTTAAAGTCTATTACTAGCTAAGAAAAATTACTTAGTAACTGAAAAGGAGTATTTAACAGTTGTTTGGGCATCTCTTATTACTATAAATACCTCTACAAAGCATACTTCAATATATATATTGATCATATCACTTTAAAATTCCTGTTTTTATATAAACTACTCAGAAATCAATTAGCAAGATGGATCTTAACTCTACAAAAATATTTATTTACAACAATTCACAAGGCCAGAAAGGTGCATAGAAATGCTGACTGTATTTTTCATATTTGAAAAAAAAGACCAATCAAAAACAAATTGTTAAGAATCTCAATGATCTAAAAAAAAAAAAAATTTTTTAAAAAAATATATATAGATTTAGAAGTTTATTATTTATACTTATGATATCTTAGTAATGTCTTAGTATCATCTAACTATGATAAAATGATAATTAAAAATTTAAAATACTACATTCAACATTACCTAGTTCAAGAAGAGTTACTTTACAAAAAAAATGTTTAAAACCTGATAAGACCTCAAAGAGTTATAAAATTAAATAAAAAATAGACTATTCTATTCATTATGCACTTTAATCCTTTGGTTGAGCATTTCAATTCTATCTTTATTTATTAATAAATCTCTGTTTGATATTTCTGATCATAAATAGAAAAAGATGTTAAAGCTTATATAAAGTCTTGTGATTTTTGCCAGAAATGAGGATAATTCAAAACTAAAGAACTGTTACATCTGATCCAAATAGAACAATTTTTTAATCAAGTTAGAATAGATATTATAAGCCCTTTACTGATTACTACTAAAGGGAACTAATATATAGTAGTAGCTATAGAATATCTAACAAGATAGCCAAATGCCTGTGATCTGCAGAAAGCCAATGCCTTATTGGTAGCTAATTTTATCTTTGATGATATTATATGTTAGCATGATAGTTCAAAAGAATTACTTTTCGATCAAGGCTTATATTTTTGTAATAGAATAGTAAATGCTTTTTATAGCCAGATAGGAGTTAAGCATTGTTTATTTACTACCTACTATCTTCAAACCAATAGGTTAGTAAAAAGGTTTAACTGCACACTATATAAAGTTTTTGCAAAATGTTTAAATCAATTTGGAAAAGAGTAGAATGATTATATTTCTGTTATTCTTTTCACATATCAGACCATTTGACATAGCACAATCTGATATGAACCTTTCTACTTGGCCTATAGAAGAGATGCTATGTTACCTATAGAGACTGTATTATTTACCTATTCAGTTAAAATTACTACTGAAAAAGACCTACAGAATAATATTTTATAGTGGATTGAGATACTATTAGAAGATTTGACTAAGGCCTATCAACAAGCAAAAGAAAAAACTAAAAAAGCACAACAAAGCCAACAAACTTACTATGATAATAAGTATTCTATAGAAAGTTATAAAATTAGTGATTTAGTTTTGATGTTTAAATCAAAGAAGCTGGGACTCATAGTTTAAAACTTGAAAAAATATAGACCAGATCTTATTATATCTATGAGGCTTATGAAAATAGTATCTACAAGTTGAGAGCCAGAGATGATAAAGTATACTAAAAGCCTGTATACAGGAATTGATTAAAGCAATACATGTTTTAAAAAAATAAAAAATAAAAAATAAAAATTTTTATTTTTATATATATTCTTGCACAATTTTTATTTAATTTTTTTTTATTAAATTTTATTAAGATAAACAATTTAACCTTTTTCAAAAACATTAAAAAAACTATAGCTCTCTTTTAACAACAAATGCAAATTGCAAAAATGTCTGGAATGTTTAGCATTTCTTCAAAACAAATTACCTATAATGATCTCCAACCTAATAAAATTAATATTGTAACTTTTCAAAGATTAACAGATACTCAAAGGATCTATTTAAAAATGCAAAAATTCTTTGAAGATTTACAAAAAGAGAAGGAAATGTCTTTATAAATAAAAGAAGCTATAGAAAACATATATCTTGATCAAATAAACTTTCTATATAAAAGTCTTAGTCAAACTGATATAAAACTAAATATCTTATTACAATACTATTATTTATTGGAAGAAAGGTTAAATATAGAAAGTTGGGAATCTAAAATCCAAGAGACATTTTTAACAAAGTTCCAAAATATACAAAAAGCAGCTTAATGGATATATAGGTTGTACACTTGTAAAGGTCTTTCTAATTTTCTTATAACCCAGACTATTATTTTTAATATTCTAGCAAAAATGTACAATGAGAATTTTATTATATTACTTTAGGAAGCAAAAACTTAGAAATTTCAAAAAAAGACTGAATTAATCTATTTGTATAATACTCTTACAGAGGCTTAAGTACAAGAGAAGAAATATGTTAAAGTCTAAATGAGAACTCTAAACCACAAATTGTAGCTTTTTTTAATTTTTTTATTTATTTAATCTATATAATATCTATTTTTATCTTAGTATATCTATATAAAGATTATGGAATGTGTCTTAAGGATGAATTAAAGATTTACTTAGCAGATTATAACATATATGTTTTAGGCTATGTGATAAGTAACTAAGAGAAATTATAATAATATTATAGAAAATGTATACATAATAATAGTAGAATATATATTTATTGATAATAGAACATATATACTATAAAACTTAGTAGATTAAAAGAATATTAAGTTTGTTTTTATTAAACCAGAAAAATATAAATATAGACCCACTTGACCTTTTTTAAAATAGTTTACAATTAGTTATCAATAGTATTAATAAAAGTTTATAAAATAAATCATTATTTTACATCTTTAAACTTCTTAAACATTCTAAAAATAATAAAATATTTTAAAACTTATAAATAATCATTACCTTGTCATAGTTTTTTAACTATTATTTTAATTAATGACTAGCATATATGCTAGGTCTTTTATTTAATATAAAGGAAGTAAGCATTAAGGCCAAATAGATCTTTTCTTGAGTAACTAAGAGCTATATACTAGATAATTTGTACTAAGTATAGAGATATTATGACTAATGACATATGATAAGAAATAGGATTGTAAAGAGGATCAATCAGTTTATATTACATTGTTTTATTATTGAAATATTAATCAACACTTGGCTCACTTATTAGTTTATTATACATTTAAGAATAATGCTTCTTATTACAATTAACTTATTTTCAACTTGTCTTTAAAATACAAACCTCATCTGATTAAACCACCATTAATCTTATTATAAATAGGTTAACATCTCAGATAACTTGTACTTACTCTAGCTAACTGAGAAATAGAATATTATAACCTATATCCTATTAACTATTAAAGCTAAACTGTGCAACATTATCTGCTCTTACAATTTATAATAGTAACACTGGCCAATTTTGTCTTATGATTTTTCTGTTGTACAGATAGTTTAACAAAATTTTTGGCATGAGCTAATTGCCTAAATTTGTAGTAGTATGCTTATTTAGAAAAATAGCACTTTGTGCCTGTGCATCATTTCAAATAAAATTTTGGCACTTGAAAAAATATAACTGAATTTTTCAGATCATGTTATAATAAATAAAACAACTTTGAATTTCTTGAATATCTGTTTTGCTAAAAATTACTTATAACTCAAAAAAAAAGCATAAGAAACCATCTTTTGTGCTTTAATAAAAAGGTTTAATTAGACAATTTTATTATAGCAACTACTTTTTTTAAATTTTAAATTTGAAGAATTTTGTCTATACTACAAACCTAATATACAATTTTTAAATATATAATTCTTATTCTTGTATAAGATGTGATTAAAGATGATTCTTTAAATATTTAGCAAATTGCAATCATTTATTTTCATATATAAGTGTATTGTGATATACAGTATCTTATATTAAAAAATTTAATATTAATTTAAAACCATTAATGAGCATATTTATACTATAACATTGATATGAGAAGTATTAATAAAAACAAAAACATTAAGATAAATTATATAGTATACACAAAGACACCAATTCCTCATATTAAAAAGACCTATTTTGCATATTATCAAATTGAGTAAATTAAATTTAAATAATAATCTTTAAATATAAAATTTTTTACTTTAAGTTTATTTTGTAGATTTTTTATTATATAATTAGTTTCTGTTACTTATAACAAACTTTTTTATTAAATATATATTCATTCAAAAATCAAATAAAAACAATTTGTCAAAATAGGTTTTTTTAATACAAGACACTTCAAATATGTATTTTAGTAGGTATTAAAAGTTTCAAAGACCTAATTTTTAGCATAATTCTAATACTTATTAACCAATTATTATTACTTAAAGTTAAAAGATCAAATAATCAAAATTGATTTTTTGAATGATAGTTTTTATTATAATTTTAATTTATTTTTTCTTAAATATAAAAAAATTTTGTATGCATTTCAAATATTATATTTTTTTTAATTAAATTGCTTGTTATAAATACAATGTAATTCATATTTATTTATTATTTGTTTAAAAAAATATTGTTTAAAAAATAAATATTTTAGATCAAAAAAAGAATTCTTATAACAAAATATTTTATAACAATTTAGAAAATCAAACAAAAGTCAAGCATTTTAAAACAAATTTTGTTAGACCAATATTCTTTATATTAAGAAGCAAAAAAGTTTTACAAAAAACTTAATTATTTAAAGTAAATATATCAATTGTTTTTTTTTGATATTAAGATGAGGCCTTGCTTATATCTTTATTAATAATTTAAACTATATATTTTAGTATCAAAGTACTAAAATAAACTAAGGTTGTTTGTAACAATATAAAAATTATATGCAAGAATAAGAGCTCAAACTAGTTTATCTGCAATCTAAACTAACTATGATGATCAAGGCTCATCTAGATTTGAAGTGTTAGTATATAGTTAGCAAAAATATTATATTTAATTCAAAGAATTGATCAGATGTTAAGTTTTTTAATTGCTTAATCAATTGGTAAACATATATTGAATTGTAGATGAAATTGATCTGCAATACCATATAGACATGAGTATATATAAGCTTAGTGATGTTGTTTGAAGGTTCTATAGTATTAAAGATGTATATCAATATAACTAATATTGTTTTGATATCTGTTACAATTTGGTTATGTTTTTCCAATTAGAGAATTCAATACAGTATGGTTTTCAAATTTGTTTATAAATTTGTTTATTAATATTGTTGTGTAGCAAATTAGCAAGTCTGTTGCTAATTTCTTCTAATTTTTATATAATTTATAGTAGCTTAATCAAAATAGGTATATATGATTTGGCTGAATAGTTTATCTGTAAGTAAGTATTCTTCTTCTTTTTAAGTCTTTTCTTTAACCTATTCTTTTATTAATCCTTGTTTTCTCTTATTTTCTCTTAATTTTTTTAACTTAGGTTATGATATGTTAAATCAGGTTTGGATTTTTTCTTTTGCATTAATGGCTTAGTTATATAACTTATAACAAACAATTTAAATATAGTTTAGTAATTTACAAAAAGGCAAATAATATAGATAATGATGCTTTTAACAATAATTTATTAGTTTGCATTAAGTTAAGTTTTATTTTTAATATAGGTCCAATACTTAAATTTATTATAAAAAAATGTATTTACTTGAAGGTATTATTTGTTATTTTTCTTTTAAGTAAAGGTCTTATATTTATAATAAAACTTTTATTTACATTTGAGGCTAATTTTATTTATATTATCTATTTATATTATATTATCCTTAAAACCCTTTACTTTATTATAATAAAGAAAAATCTAATATTCTATATACTATTAATTTACCTGAAATAATAAATATAACAAAAATAATAAAAGTAAAAAAAGTAAAATAAATTTTACTTTTTATGTAATTAATTACTCAGATAGATAACAGAACCTAAATTTAACAATTGATTATAGTTATGTAAGATTATGATAATAGTAGTACTGATTTTGAAGCTTACAATATTTAGAAGTATTTAGATTGTTAATTGTGAAGCTAATTGTAAAGATATATTAAAGTTATAAATAACTTCAATAAGTAACTTAAGTATAAGACCTTTAAGTATAATGTCTATAAAATGTAAATTATATTAAAATAGTATATGATCAAAGCATAAATGATGCTATATTTTAAAAACTAATTTTTGAAGTTAAGGAAGTAATAGGTTCAGTTCAGTCTTAGAAAGTATTTAGTTAACAGATATGTAAATAATATTAAAGAAAGTATTATGTATATTGAAGCATTATATTAATATATAAATGAGTTAGAAAGATTGTATTTAAAACAATTTGTATTAGTAAAAATAAAGAAATATTTGTTATAAAAAAAAAATTAAGTAAATAACTTATTTAGTAAAAATTTAGTTTTAAAAGCTTTAAGTTTAAAACTTGTATAAAAAGATATAGGTTTTTGGTTATAGTTAAGATAAAACCAAGAAAAGGTCCAGTTTATAAGATGATTTAGGTAAGTTTATTTACTATTTTTTGTTTGTAAAGACTACATTGTTAATATGTATACTTTACATATATTCTTAATAAAATATTTAGTTAATAATTTAATAAAGTTTTGTTTTTATTGTAGAATATAATAAGAGTTATAAATATTAGTATAATTAAAGATAAAAGATTAAAGAAGTATATGCTGCTTTGCTAAAGAGTTTGCAAAATTGTTAAAAGAATTATTAGTATAGGTTTGCACTTTGTGAAAAATAATTTGAAGTTAAAAGATTTTATAATATTAAGTAAAATATGCCATAAAGGCCCATACTAAATTTAAATAACTTGTTAGAGTTTTGTAATTGGTTTGATAGTATATAGAATTTTAAAATAACAGATTGTAAGTCTGTATAAATATTAATAAATAAGTGTAAGATACAGTAGATATTGCAAATAGAATTAAAAATAATTTGGCTTTATAAGATAATAATTATAAATAGATTTGAGCTAAAAATTTATAGATAATTTGATTATGTTTATTGATTTAAACTCATTTAATACTTATAAAATATTATTCTGATTCAATATTAATAACAGAACTATCAATATAAAAGGTAAATTTATATTTATAAAGTTAGATAAGTATATATCATAAAGCTTGTGAGTACAACTGTTTGGTTAAAAATTTTTTAAAATACTAAAATTGTATATAATAATATTAGAAAGTATAGAAAGTATAGAGTGTAGTGACCTA